GGCACATTGATATAGGTTTACAATGTCACGAGACAGATATCGCCAAGGGAAATTAAGTGGGGAATAAAAAACTTGAGCAAGTGAGAAAAAAATCAGACCAATGCCTAGATGGGCAAAAGTAAAGATAGCCTAGCAATCGAGTAATAGCTGTAGTGTGAGGTAAGTATTACTGGAAATACATTTTCGATTTAAGAAAATACTAACTTTTTCTCTAAGTAGATAGCTTGTTCTGATCGCAAGTTAACATTAATTAGTATAAATAGTTCTTCAAAAATGTTTACACTTAATTGTTATTAGAACATCGTTATGTATCTTACCAAGGAATATATTATTATAATATTATTACGCAATTGTAGTGCGTACAGTGAGTAGCCTTTGTGTACGGAGAGTTATTTTGAAAACAACTTTTTTTTTTTAATTTGCCAGGTCAGTAGCAATGCCTCTGATGAAGAAACCATTATTTTATAATTAGCATTTTCTAAAATTGAATTAGTAATGAAAGACATTATAGAGCTTATAGTCAATGATACATTAGTTTTATTCATGCCTCTGAATAATTCGAATACTGTAAGAAACAGCTAGAAAATTTACTGAATAAGGAAAGAAACATTTATTGAAGAATGTTGAACTTCTGTTGTATTGTATATCTAATATTTTTTTCACAAGTCCCAGAATAGTGAGCAACTGTTAATTCTCTTTTTAAGGGGGGATGATGAAAAGTGTCCTGGTAATTATAGGTCTGTTATTCTTACAACAGTAATTTACTAGGGGATTTAAGGTTGTGAATGAGTTGAATAATCACAGTAAGATAGAAATTTCATTTTTAAAACTATTTTCATCTTCTCTGTCATTATTTGTGTATAAAATTGGAGCTAGTCATGTGAGTAAAGTAAAACTTTACATTTAGCTTTTAAATATGTACCTTTTACACTGTTTAATTATTTTGGAATATTTGATTTGACCTTTCGTAATGTGCTAGCAACTTAAATATATAATAATAATGATAATATTGACGTGGTTTATTGTTTTGAATGTTTATGACATATTAAAGTATTTTGATTGTTGATTCTTTACTATAGCTGGAAGTTATGCTTAATTACAGATCATATACATCCACTGGTGCATTTAATGAAAGTTTACACTGTATCTCTGTTGAAACATCTAACAGGTAAGAATATTTTAAATCATTTAATATGCCAAAGCTCTTGGGGGTGAGAGGGAGTTCATGTTTTATTACATTGATATTCAAGTGATTATTTATAATATGAATCTAATTACTGATTTTGTGAAATCTTGCTTCTCAAATGTAACAAATTCAAATCTGGGAAGAAATTAGGATTCTTAACCATAAGAATTAAAAGTGGAACTGTGACAAAAGTTTAGTGATACATAAGAGTACTTGGAGTAGATGTATATTCAAAGAAAAACCTTGCAGACTAAGTATAGGACAAGTAAGTACCTACCTCACCAGGTGGGCCCGACATGGACAGTTGGTTAGGGCACTCGACTTGCAATCTGTGGGTCGCGGGTTCGAATCCCCATCACACCGATCATGCTCGTCCTTTCAGCCTTGGGAGTGTTATAATGTGACAGTTAATCCCAATATTCATTGGTGAAAGAGTAGCCCAAGAGTTGGAGGTGGGTGGTAATGACTAGCTGCCTTCCCTCTAGTCTTACACTGCTCAACTATGGACGACTAACGTAGATAGCCCTAGTGTAGCTTTGCGGGAAATCCATAAGAAACAAATCTTTCCAGGCAGTAAGTTTTAAGTGCACTGTGCTTATTTTTTCAAAGATTGTTTACTGTTAGTTCCTTTGCATTTACAGCAGGAAGATAGGACTTGCCATAAGCATGAAACTAGTGATAATTGTCAGTTATACATCTGTGTTATATAAATTTTTATTTTAAATTTTGAAAGTTCCACCATCCCTAGAAATTCCAATTCAGAACATTCCTTTATATAGTTGAAAAGTGTTTTAAGGATTTTGCTGTGTGTGTGTCTGTATATATGTATTGTGTATGTACAAAGATTTCAGTACATCATATATTAAAATTATTTTTAGTACATAAATCATAGTCACATGATAACCACAAGTTGATATAAAGTTGCGGTGGAATGGAGTCAATGAGATATTTGATATTTTTAAAAATTTGTAAGATTGGGATGCAACTGAAAATTAATACCTTTTGGGAAGGATATGTAACACAAAATATTCATACACATCAATTATAAATATTTGTTCAGATCATGAATTAGATTTTCCCAGATAGAGATATCACTTGTGCTTGTTGGTACTGGGAAACAAAGGAATATGTATCAACTTGGGACACCATGACCAATTGAAAAGAGATCTGCAACAAGTTCTACTATAGAACAGGTGAGAAAAGTCAGTGGTAAACACTGCCTACATATTCCAGGCAACAGTATGTTCAACATAATCAAGAAGGATCTCCATTTTTAAAAAGTGACAGATTATGACTAGATGTGCCAACATAGACTGTAATGACATGGTGAGGTTCTAGTACTCAGCTGTCTTCCATTAATGGACATCCTGCATATTATATGGCCAGGATTTTTCTTTGGATGACAAAAACTAAACGTTTGGAAATTTCTAGAATGACCATGCTTTAATCCCATAGACATAAAAAAAATTCTTTGTTTCGAGTTCCTAACTGATCCTAAATATTTTTTTCAGTTTATTTTTTTCTTGAATCAAATTTTGGCATTAGTTTAAAATTTTAAATTGCTGTTTGAATCCTTATAGTTTACTTGTAATGATCACAAGTGTAAATTGTGACTTTCACTAGTCAGTCTCTACCACTGGTGTAGTGATACGTCTAAGTTTTTGGACATCAGTTTTCTGTGTTTGTTTGTTTACGAATACCTGTCTAATTGCATTTTGTTTTTGCTCAGTATTTGAACTAAGGCTAACTTTTTTTCTTGTATTTTCAGCTAAATTCTTTATGAAAAGAGTAATGAAGAATTTTATTGTGTGAGCTGAGCACATATAAATTATATATTGAATTGACATCTGACTATGAAAATGGTTGCATATGACTTACAAAGACATTACTTTACCGAATGCCAAACAGACGTTTTCATGTTTGTTTCATCATGAATACACTGCCTAAACTATTGAGTAAAAAAAGATTTTATCAGTTGGGATGAAATTGTATAACCTATACTCATTGCAAGCCTAGAGTCAGTAATTATATAACAACAAAGTACTATTCAAAATTATATTGCATATTTCTGGGATGTATTTCTTGTCAAGTCTTCACAATGGCTTTCTGTGTGTGGCAAATCTTTATATGCTCATTGTAATTCAGCAAAAAAGGCATCAGTAATGAATGTCAGATTTGGTAGTATACATATGGATAACAAATAGCCATTTGGTCCTTCAAGGGTGACCACTTCAAGAAAAAGAAAAGTAGAAAATTTAAACCCACCTTTTATTTTTCAGGAAATCACTGATTCCTCCCCTTTAACCCAGTCTTTTCTAAAGTGCAAGATGTTGGCTACCACTGTTGCTGATGGCATCTCATTCCATGAGCTAATCACCTATTAGAAAAAGAAAATACTTTTAATTGAACCTCATTTGTCCCTATCTTTGTCAAATCTTAAATTTGTGTCCTTTTTTTTTAGTATTCAGGGAAATAAATCTGAGGCCTTTATCTTATTTATCCCCAGAATGACTTTATAAACTTCAATGAGATCACCTGTACCCTTCTTATTTCAAGATAAAAGGTTAAGACTATTTATGGCATGTTTTATAGAAAATATTGTATACTTATAGGTATTATAGATTGATTTCTATTTGATACGCATTATGAAGAAAAACTTTGATAATACTCAGTTAGTTTAAATAGTGCATGGGAATTTATTCAGATGTTTGTTAACTGGAAACTTTTTTTGTGATGATTGTATCTTGAACTCTTTGTAACTTAGTTTGAAAGTGATAATACAGGCTTATATTCCTGCAAAATAACTTTTTCAGGTATCACTTTGTGGTATGCGATGCTAGATTGGGTTCTTTGAAAGCATTGTTTGATAAAATTTCATATGTACAGGAAGAACTAAAATTTATTTTGTGAAAGACTTTCCACATGTTCACTGAGTATTTAGTTGCTCTACTCCTATACAACAGATGTGTCTAAAAGTTTCTGCTAAACTCGTATTGCAGAAATATGCGTATAATAAATCAAACGTAAACAGCAAAGGAAGAACCAACACAAGTGAACAAAGTCTTTATCTACAATAATATTTGTATGCATCACCAAATTACCATATTCTTACTTTCCATTATGATTTGTATTTGCTGCTAGGGTGAATAGGTTTTTCCAAACTTCTGCACAGAACAAATACAGGAATAAATGAAGACAAAAGAGGCTTAAGTCCTATGTGGATTTCCCACTTTTATAGTCTTAGCACAGTATTCCACAAGTAATTAAGTTACATACTTCAGCTACTGATCTACGCATAATTTTAACCATCTCAAGCCACACGCACAGATTTCATTATTACCTTCATAGAAGTCCACACGGAATCACATACATCCTTACTTTAGACTTAAGTTGCACACATAATCTTTAACTGTGTAAAAGAATTAACATGTGGTTATGACCTTTTGAAATCAATTTTACCATAATAGTATAATAATTTAGAGAAAACATGCAGAAGACGTGGAAGTTTTGAAAAAATTGTATACACCTGAGTAAAATTGTATTCTTAACTAGTTATTGAAAGGTGAAGTGACTTCAGTTATGACATTTCCACTGCACTTTAGTAAGTAAGATATAATAAATGAGAGTATTATGGTGTAGCATAAGAAAGTAGCTATATTAAACTGGTTAAATTGCAAGACTCATAAATTCATGTTTCTATTGGCTATTCGGTTAGGAGACTTTAAGAAAGTGTTCTCCTTGTATGTTTGATATAATTAAGAAACAACTTTGTACTGTACTGCATGTACGCTAGTAAAACTGTTTGTTAATTTGGTCCTAGCCATTTAAAAGAACAATAATAGCACAATAATAGAATAAGATCAGTTCTAAGAGCGGGGGAAAAGATTCAGATAACGGAGACGTATATATATAGAATTATGTTGTTGTGGTAGTTTGAGTTGTTAACTCTTTAGCTCAGTTGTTTCTAGATTTAAATCCTGTGTGTGGGAGAGACAAAAATTGAAATTACTACATGAAAACTGGTTCCCGAACTAGTGATCAGCCAACAACCCTGAGATAAAGCCTGAGGATAGGCCTTGTTTGTGAAAGGGGAAAAATGTGGTAATTGTTAAAAAGAGCTTTTACCAAAAGTTCTTTTTAGTTCAGTTTGTAGAACATTAACTTGTAGTGTGAGTGGCCCTGGGATCAAGTCCTGCATGTGAGAGAGACAAAAATTGAAATTTCTTGATTATTAGTTATATGGACTTCATAAAAATAGCTAGACACCCTGTTGTCATTGCTGGTATTAATTTATATAACAAGTTTATAAGTTAATGTGAGTCTTTGCATATTACATTGGTAAAACATAGACTTACTCTTTAAAATGGACCAGGATTTCCCTCTGCGTATTTGGTAACTTAAGTATCATTTGAACTTTCACATTACATTTGTTAGAATGAAGGTAGAAATGAATTTGGACAGATAAATTCTTCTGAAGGTCCTAGCCATTTAAAAGAATAACATCATAGGTTTAATACACATAGGCACTAAGTTAACAAATCAGGTGTAAATTTTGGGCCAAAAAAAAATGAATTGACATATTAAATCTTACGATTTGTGAATTCGTTTTGAAAAACAGAGTGGCTTAAATGATGTGTAAGGAAAAGTGACAACGTTGTGAAATTTTAATTAACAACAACTATATATATATAGTACAACAAAATGTCCACAGATGGTGCCAATTAAAATTCCCTGATGATGTTATAGTATTGAAAAATTAATTTTAAGTATAAGTTGAGAATGTACTATACATACATATGATATTCACTTATGCAAATATGTATATTCACAGACAGTTTTATCACTTCTGAACATCGGAAGAATTTTAGGAGAGTTCTCTAATATTTTACCTAGTAGCACTAAGTAGAAATCAATTAATACAGAGTGATAGTAGTCACTCAAGTTATTAGAAATGTTAATTAACACTTAACAGTGTCATTCTT